AAGGCCTCGAGATTTCTCCTGAGAAATCGGCGCTGGTCGCGTTCACGCGGAAGGCAATGACGTCATATCCCATCGCCATCGATGGACACAGTGTCTGCTACGCCAGGACCCACAGGTTTTTGGGGGTCACGATCGATCGAAATCTCTGCTGGAGTCCCCATGTGGCCACTCTAAAGAAACGCCTAACGGCCATCGCACAACTTTTCAAGTTCCTCGGAGGCAAAACGTGGGGCACATCAGTGCACGCGATGTTGCATTTGTACAAAACACTGTTTCTGGGGTACCTGCGGTATAGCTTGCCGGTTCTGACGAACGCTTGCAAAAGCAGTATACGCACAATAGAAAACGCCCAGGGCCAGGCACTCAGAGTTTGTCTTGGATTACCACGCTGTACATCAACAGCGGAAACCATCGCAATCGCCAAAGATCATCCGGCCACAGTGCACATTACTTTGGAGGTGCTTAGAGCTCATATTAGACACCTTGCTCGCGCCCCTGCCCACCTCCTAGCTTCGCTTCCAGAAGATCGACCGAGTGCCTCCTTCTGTAAGAGAGTATTGACTTTCCGTGAGTGCCTTCCAACAGTCTACACGCCTCCGGAACGGATACTAACACCTCCTTGGTGCTTGGACCGACCAAAACTGCGCTTGACAGTGCCGGGGATTCGCAAGAAGGCGGAGCTCTCGGCGCCAGCTTTAAAGCAGATGATTCTACTCATGCTACACGAAGAATACAAAGATCATGTCAAACTTTACACGGATGGCTCGACAACTGTTGGAGGATCTGCAGGAGCTGTGATCTTCCCAGCAAGAGCCGAAACCATCCAGTTCAGAACGTCACACAAGACGACATCGACAGCCGTGGAGCTCGCGGCACTCCGCAGCGCACTCCGCAGGATTGACCAAGAGACACCACAAAAATGGAGCATTTTTACTGATTCGAAACCAGCTCTCCAATGTCTACACAATGCTCTACGTCGTGGACCTCAAGACCAATTGGCGCTCGAAATACGACAACTGTACCATCACCTAATAGACGAAGGACATGACATATCTTTTCAGTGGTTACCAGGCCATTGCGGCATCATCGGTAACGAGCATGCCGACGATGCAGCTAAGAATGCTCACGAAAATGGAGTGATGGAACCTATTCCACTATCAAGAAGCGACGCAGCAGCAAAGATTAATACGCTTGCGCAGGATGTCGCAAGGTCTATGCGGAATACGCCCGGTTTTCTCCACACCCGTCTTCACCGCCTGGACCCATGCCTACGACTTACTATTCCATCTGGCCTACCCCGATCCGAGACGACCCTTCTCTGCCGCATGTGGCTTGGGGTGTCTTTCACGAACGCTTTTGCCTGCCGAATCGGAATGAGAGACAGCGCTACATGCGACCATTGCGACAATGACGAAACAATTGAACATATTTTATGTCAGTGCCCCCAGTACAGCTCTCAGCGACAGTCCCTCTCAGCAGTGTTTGCTCGCCTCGACGACCAGCCATTTTCTGAGCAGTCAATCTTGGAATGTCGGAAAGATCGAGCTTCACGCCAGAAAGCAACGAAGGCGCTGATGAAGTTTCTGCGAGCGACCCGCCTCGTTGAACGATTGTGACACTACTGTGTGCGCGTGTGTGTGTGTGTGTTTGTGCTTCTCTTCCTACCTTTCCCACTTTTTTTTTTTTTACTTTTCTGTCTCCCCTTACCCCTTCCCCAGTGCAGGGTAGCAAACCGGATATGTTTTCTGGTTAACCTCCCTGCCTTTCCGCATTAAATTTTCTCTCTCTCTATATAAGCCAGAAAATCACAGGTACCACAGTAAAGGTAGAATTCATGCACCTGTCTTTATTAGATGCAGAAAAACTGTCATATTGTTTTCCAATTCTCGCACCTGCATTGCAGGCTCAGCGTCCGCACTTTCCTGTGTGGGTGACTCAGTAACTTAGACTAACTGCGCGACTTATTACAATTCAGAGAAATAGTCTGCCGCGACACCCTCACAACAGACACCTGCGTTGACTATTGGTTAGAGAGCATATCCTGTGCTATACTATCAGGTCACTCAGTTTTCCGTAAAGTCGAGCGCACAGCAAGCTTGTGAAAGCAGGCACTACTTAGAGCCCACTTCTGTCGGTAAGCTTTCTTGATTATGTTGTCATTTACGTACAAAGTATTACGGATGGCAGCACCACATTTATCGGTAGCGTGTTTCGAGTTCGTCCACCGCTACACAATGCGCATGACGGCCGCTTTTTTCCGTAATTTTAAATCTCCCTTTGGGTAATGTAGCGCTTTTGAAAATAGAGAGTACATGAACCAGTATGCTGTAGACGACAAATGGGGCAAGTTATTTGGATAATAGTGAACCGTTTCACTAGATCACCGAACAAACGTACAACTATCGAATATGCATACCTTACAGAGGACGCGGCCATGCTGCGGTGGTCTAGTGGCTAAGGTACTCGGCTGCTGATCCACAGGTCGTGGCATCGAATCACGGTTGCGGCGGCTGCCTTTTCGATGGAGGCGAAAGTTCTGTATACGTCGGTGTACTCAGATTTGCGTGCACGTTAGAGAACATCAGTTGGCCGAAATTTCCGGAGCCTTCCACTACGGCATCACTCATAATCATATTGTGGTTTCGGGACGTCAGACCCCACATATCAATCAATTACAGAGTAGGTAATTATCAGCATATTTTTGTAGGGATAGTCTATAGAAACAACTCAGACAACTGTATACACAGATAGGAAAGAACGCAAAGTAGTTAATGCTGTGAGTAGCATATTGAAATTTTGCAAGTAAAAATGTCCACCTGTATTCGAATCAAACTGTTTATAGCTGGAAAGAAACGAACTTTCGCAACTGCAACATGCTCGTCATGAAAAGCTACTGTGGCTGTTGTAGCTGTTCTTTAGAGAGCTTGGTTACCGCTAAAATTATGAAAAGCCTCTGGAAAGCACATCCACGGAATGTGCGTTCTTATTTACGATAGACGGTTGTGATTCTTCAATACAATTTACAGCGCAGGCATCAGCTGTGTTACAGAAATACCTCAAGATATATTTAATGCAGCACTCCCAAAACAAACAAGTAATGTAATGAGCCAATGAGAAAGTGTGCAGTCGTTACTTGCGATGCACTAATCATGAACGTTATGCAAAAAAAAAATATTTGATAGCACATGTTAACAAGAGCAGTTTGGTGTGCGTAATTTGTACAATAAAACCAAGCAAGCTTAATAAAGAGAGAGAGTAAGAACAGAAATACATTAAAGATAGGGAGCTTAAGGCTATCCTACACGTAGGAAGAGGAGAATAAGGGAGAAAAAGAGAGCGAGAAAAAGGGAAGGAGATACATATTGCACACAAGATAGAGTGCAGGGTTTCACATTTGGTCACTTCGTGATGTTGCCTTGAAGTACTCCAGGAGGGCTCGTGTGTTCTGCGCTGGTGTTCTGTGAGACCGTACTCCCAAAATCTCTTGTTTATTAATTGGCCGAAAATCTGGACTTTAATGAACACTGCCGAGTCTGGTGATTTTGTTCAAAGTTGAAACTGTGGCACAGGACGCGGTGATTACTTTCAACATGGTTGCAGTTATCGTAATTGGGTAAGCCAACCGACGGCCGTAAGCATATTGTGGCACACCGGAGTGGTACCCTTCTACCTCGAATTCTTTTCACGATGGCATACAGGGCATTTTAGGGGACGCCAACCTGAAATCAAGCAGCCTCTCTTCCAAAAAAAAGATGTTTGCTTACGTCCTTAGATCAGCCATTTCTATACTTACTATTTTATAGTGCATTCGCCCTTCATACATAAAACCTGTATTTAGTTTTAAAAACGAGACAGTTGTTTACGATAATACGGATGTGTCAAGTCATCGGCCGGTTTTAACAGGCGATGTCTCAACAGCCCTCGCTTCCACAAAATAATTAGTCTTCTTTAGGGCAGCTGCAGCCTTTTTTTAGCCTCATTCCTTTTACAACGCCTTACTCGCTATGCGCCACTATTCAAGGTGAAAGAGAAGGAAATGATGCTTGTGAGCATATAAAAGAGAGAATGGGAATCACGGAGTCCTGGTCACCAAGCCCTGCAAAGAAAGGTTGGCGTGAAAAGGGCAACCGATGTTGTAAAGATAAATGATGAATGATTGTGGAGAGTGGGTACGAAGGAAGATTATTTTTTTTCTCAGTAAGATAAAGTGAATCTTTGTAAAAGGGAAACGTAATACGGGCATCTTCAAGGTTGATACAGGCAAGTTGCGGCCTCATGTTCACGGCTCTTCTAGCCTTAGCTCGCACTCCTGGCTCAAGTCTTTGTGTAAACACGGTGGCTATACCGGGCAGCGTGATGGTCCTAATAGGTAGAAGAAAATACTGTACATCCTCTTCTTGCACAAAATAGCTCTAGTACAGGGCTTAAAATATCAGCAACAGAGAGTGCATAGAATTTCGTGGTACAAGAGTGCTTTCAAATTTCACCAAAGGGAGAGCCTTCGTTGTGCCTGCTAAGCAGTACAACCGACACCGATTAGAAGTTTCAATCATTCCTTTTGAAGCAGCACTTCTTTCCGCTCTTCAATTATCTATTAAAGAGAAGAGCAAGCAAGGCATACATAAATAGGCTGATAAAGAACGCTGTTCCTTTTCTCAGGGAGCTAATACATACTCCATATCAAAACGTACGCTGAGAGGCATTTAGGGCTATCATGGATTCGGTAAAGGGGTTTCCCAAGGACATGTTGATTGATTGATTGATTGATTGATTGATTGATTGATTGATTGATTGATTGATTGATTGATTGATTGATTGATTGATTGATTGATATGTGAGGTTTAACGTCCCAAAACCGCTATATAATTATGAGAGACGCCTACCAAGGACATGTTAGCGGAGAACTTCAGCACACTAAGTAACGTGACTCTTCTCTAAGTAATCATTAGAATATCAAAGAACTAAGAGGGCTTCTATTATGCTTTTTCAGACTCACGAAGAATTGTACAAACACAAGATATCATGAACAACCAGCTTTATCAGTACATCGAAGGGTTCTGCATACCAAGAGCGTTCCACGAAAAGAACTTTCGCTCCGCGATTGGGTACAAGGCACGCGAAGGAGACATCTTTATTGTCACTTACCCAAAATGTGGGACCACATGGACTCAATACATCGTGTGCAACATTCTAACTCGTGGAAACCCGCCATCTGAAATTGCCGAATACGACCTGATGACGCCGTTCCTTGACGCCCGGGGAGCCGAGGCTGCGGAGAATCGCCTCGGAGCAGGCCCCATCGTGACGCACCTGCCAAGTGGTGTGCTTCAACCAAGTGACTGCGCCAAGTACATTTACGTCGCTAGGAATCCGTATGACTGCGCTGTTTCTTATTACTATTTCCTCAGAGGATTTACGCCAAATGCTTTTCCGGATTTCGACACCTTCTTGGACACGTTCCTATCTGGAGAGGTAAGCTGTCCATGTTCCCTGTACTTTGCCATGTGGTCAGCACTCCGTGCTTTCATTTCTTGTTCATATACAATACAGCTAACCTGACAGCATCAAGGGTGTGCGCTGGCTGTAGTATTGTTACGTGAACAAACTGCAGGAGTTTGAGTGCGTCGCCACATCATCCTCGTGATCTGTATGACTGAGCCACGCACCATTTTTATCAAGACATACATAATGCATATTAGTAGTTGTAATCTTATGGCACAAGATAAGGAGTCAAAAAGCTCCGTGGCGTAAACCTTTAGACAGCGAGAAAGTAATAACGGTTAGCATTTATTTTGCAACACCTTTTTACTAGATTCATCTGGTATTTCACTGCCTGTAGAAATATATAGTGCCACCCACGTGCGTCATGCCTTCATGCGTTAACTTTGCTGACTTCATCATCAAATTACTTCGTGCTCACTTTATTTTTGAATGAGTCGCGCCAATTTCATTCATTTCGACACTTGCGGAGACATAAATCACAAATAAAACACCTGACAAGAGCGTCATGTGCACTTCATTGTAACAAAACTGAGAAACCAAGGCGATACAAATAAAGGAGACGATCAACCGAGCTTGGCTATCACCAAGTAATCATCTTGAGTGAATACGTTTAGGTGCTGTTACTTTTTCGTCTTCAACTTACCTATGTGGCTCAAAATGAATTTTGAATTGCCTTTATGTTCTATTTTTGAATCAGGTTCCATACGGTGATTACTTCGACCACCTCTTGTCCTGGTACGAGCATCGACGAGATGCCAATGTCCTGTTCATAACTTACGAAGACCTAAAGGCAGACAGCAGGGCACAGCTTCTCAGGATCGCTGATTTTCTTGGTGAAGAGTACGGAACAGCACTGCGTGAAGACGAAGAACTGCTCCGGCGCGTTCTCGCCGCTTGTCGCCTGGAGAAGATGAAGGCGTTCATCAAGGACAACCCAGTTGACAGATTTCAGTCAAACAATTGCGAAACAAAAGTGGTCAGCGGACAGTCTCCGAACTTCGTCAACGTTTCCACTGTGATGAAGGGTCCCGTCTCTGAAGTACCGTCTGCCTTTTTAAGAAAAGGAATTGTGGGAGACTGGAAAAATCACTTTACCAGTGAACAACTGCAAAAAACTAAAGCCTGGATTTCTCAAAAGACTGCTAGTAGCGATGTCATGAGCCTGTGGAAGTCAATGGATCTCCCAAGTTTATAATTATGGAGAATGTGTAGAAGATATTGCTAAATAAATTTTCATTTGTTCTTTTTAAGCGAATGCATTTAGCTCGCTGTTGTGAATGTTTCACTGTGATGTGGTGCTTCTCAACAGTAAGGGAATAACGGCACCTGCTATTTGTACAAAGCTAATGTTCAGTTCGATTAATACGTTATTATGTTCAGTTCAATTAATACAGATAGAGTGGAAAAGAAGGGTGTAGGGAACATTGCTGGTGGTGTTCAAAAATGGTGTAAAAATATCTAATGAAGCTGATTGCTTGAGTTAGTTTGACGTTCTTCACTTAAACACAGCGCAAACAACAGTACTTAATCTAACCTACATACATGGGAATACAAGTGGAAGAAAAACACTGCCACCTGTGGAGACGTGAACTCACAAGCTGCGGATAATGCAACTCATGCTCGATCAACGAGCTATGGTGGTATTCATGAACCTGTCATTTTAATTTTGTATTTTCATGCATCTGAAGCTGAAACTGTTAGCTAATGGTGCTCGTAATTCATCTGAAGGCTTGCTTGGCGTTGTCCGAAGGCCGTAAGTTCGGTCTGTAGCAGCGGAAAGATTGCTTTTTGGTACACTTAGGTTCAATTTTGTTTCGGTTATTTCAAGGAGCCCTGCGCAGTGGCCCGACGAGCCCCTATAACTGCCCGCAAGCAACTGAAATTGGGCTCGTCTTGAAGCTTATACTCTCCAATAAGTTAGGCTGCTACAGCGCTATCCCGTCAGGCGGCACTGCCGACTGTTAACAAATACTAAACAGGAACTTTCATAACAAACTTTGTATGGTGGAAATGGCCCTGGGAAAATCGATTGGAAAGGGCAAAGTAGAGATAGGATAACCAAATGAGGCTAAGTTAATGAAGTTAGGGCAAGCGAAGTTAACCAAAGGGACACGTGTCACTGTTTGGGCATGCAACGCATGCCGCCTGTTTCTGCGTTAAAGAGGTATCTCGGCACTTTAATTGTACAAAGTGTAACTTGGAAGGTCGTGCCTGCACCCTCCCAAAGTGCTCTTTAGGATTCTGCATGGCGTCAAATCTTTTCAGGTGAGAATTTCTTGCTGGGTCATAAACTATGCTTCTATTATCCAGAATGTTTTGAAACGCACTGGTATATTCTCTAACAGGAGAGCATAAACCACATCGATTGAGGTAAATCTCCGGCAGCCACATGAACGCCCAGAGGCTTGATCGCCCCACGCGATGCACCCTGGCGTCACTCGTGGCCCGCACTTCGAACTTACATAGAAACCACTTGGACACGGCCAGGGGAGAGGATTGTCTGTCTCTAGCATGGTCCACACGCCATCTATCACTCGTTCTCACTGGCTTTGCGTTCTCGCATGCCCTGCCTTTACACCTGGATTGTGTAACCCTTGTGTGAGGTTAAATAAATTGTCTATTGTTCTGCGAAGCGTACGTCGGCGTTTCTTCAATTAGGGATGGTACATATAACCAATATCCGCAGTGAAAAGATCACATACTGGCAACGACAATAAGAGGGCGTTTGCTCTGATCCTTCAAGCTATCAGCCCATATCTGTGTTAAGCATAATAAACTCCATATTCAAAAAGATTATTGGAAAACAAATGCGCCTATTCTTAGAAAAATATAATGCTTTTTGCCCGGTGCAGCATGGATTTAGATCACAGTATTCCACATCAACACCTGTGTTATCGTTATCACAGAAGATTAACAAGGCACTGCACAACAACCTTCTTGTGGCAGTTGTCTTCGTTGATTTAAAAAAGGCATTCGATACCGTCGACCATAATAATCTGCTTATGAAATTAAAACACTATGGTAATTAAAACACTATGGAAAGTTTTTAGCCTCCTTTCTAACTACATTGATGGACGTCATCAAATGGTCAACATGCAAGATCTTACCTCGTAATTATTAAACATAAAGACAGGGGTACCTTAGGGGTCGGTCCTGGGGCCACTGTTATTCTCACTATACGTAAATGATTTGCCATGCATACTGAAATCGGCCGAGATGCTAATGTACGCTGATGACACAGCTTTAATAGTTACCGCCGATAACATAGCCGATCTAGATCGTAGAGCTAATGAAGAACTCGAAAATGTTTTAAGTGGTTTACAGTGAACAAATTAACATTCAATTAAAAAAAACAAATATACCATTTTTCACTCCCGTTACCGAAATGTAAACTGTGAGTCATTTCGACTTACAATGAACAACTGCCAACTTGAGCATGTAAAAGAATTTAAATATCTCGGTGTAGTGTTCGACAGCCAATTACACCGGAAAAAAAACAAATTAACTCTGTTTGTACTAAGCTATAGAATCTGACTGCAGTATGCTACTGGCTACTAGAAATTATTTTAGCAGAAATATTCTCAGAGTCCTTTATTTTTCGTTTGCTCATAGTCATCTATCATACTGCTTAGACTCATGGGGATGGACCTTTAAAACTTACCTTGATCCTATCCGAATATTACAAAAGCGTGCACTTGGAATAATAGATTATGCGGCATATAATAAACCCAGTGCGTCTTTGTTTCACAAGTTGGATATTCTACCTTTTGATTACTTACGGCAGCATAAAACCGCAGTCAACATCAATAATGTGATTGCACACAGGTGACCTTTTGATGTATCTATCTTTTCTTCCTCGTCCCGCGTCACTAGATGCATGACAATGCGGAATTTTAATCTTCCACCTAATCAAAACGTGTATGGTGAACGCTTACTAGAGTTCGTAGGAGCTAAAGTGTGGAATAACATACCACTTCAAATTAAAGATTCTAAGTCTTTCACGAGCGCACTCAAAAAATATTTGCTACATGTAGATCAATAGTAATGACCATGTACTAAGCCTTACACATAGTTTGATGTTTTGTCTGTTCTTGATTATTTCATTATTTATGAACAAAGTGCAACAATGTGTTCTATATACATTTCTGAGCAATTACGTCACCTTAAATTGCAATGATATCTTGTATTTTTGTTCGTTTTCTGAAAAATCAACGTTTTTTGATGTTCTGATTTTTTTATATACATATTGTATTCTGCTTGTATACTTTCTCCCGTTAGACTTCCTACCGGCCTATGGCAATGGGTCTAATCAGTGTTGTGAATTTCTTGAAATGTAGTCATAACAACCTCAATAAAATGAAAAATGAATGCGCACATGCAAATCCGGACCTAGTTCTGCACTTATGAGATCTATCATCCGCTCCCTACTTGCTTTTTGGCGCCAGTGTTCCAGTTAATATTCCAACTTAGTCCTTCATTATCTACTTTACTCGGTTCAAAAAAGTGGAATAGGTAAAGATAAACATAAAAATGCTCTGGACACCAACCTCCTGCCTGGCTCACACGATTCAACAAGTTCGAGATCAACGGCCACCTCATTCGTGACGAGCTGGGCGGGACGAGGTGGGCATTGTTAACAAGAAGAATGATTTGGAATATTTGCTGCTTTCACGAACTCCTCATATGGCCTTGATAACAGAAACTTGGATACATTGTGGTATACATATTCACGCTGTAATACCCCCGGATATCAAATGTTCAGAAAGGACAGAATTTGCGTGGTCGGGGAGTGTGCATAATAAAAAACTGTTCATGCGTTCATAATAGTCTGTGACATTTCCGAAACATTGTTGTATGAATACTCTCGCAAAGTTTGCTTATCTAGATGGTGCAATATGTCGTCCACCTTCGACTTTCTGTAGCTTTCTACACCAGTTGAACACGTTATTGTTCACCAATGTGCATACGAACACACGTCTAATTATGGCTGGGGACTTCCGTTTACCGCACAATAATTGGCAGGACCTGGCTTACAATGGCGGTGAAAAGTATAGACTAGATAAGTTATTAGATATAGTGTTTTTTTTAATCTAAATCAAATATTCCATGAATGCTAACGAATAACTTCTGTGTCACATTTATTGTTAGATCTAGAGTTCCTATCCAACAATATCGAGGAATGTTCGTGGTCCATTGAGGACGGTATTTTTGACTATGAGCTGGCTGTAGGTAATGTGACTGCTAGCCTTACGTCCTACTCAAAAACGCTATTGCAATAACAATAAAAAACGATGAAAATGCTCATGGCACTCGAGTTATAGATTTGTTTGAAATCCCCGTTTTGCCTTTTCGATAAACACGCAAATGAATGAAGAATTGATGAGTTGTAGAATGAAATCAAATCTATGTTAAACCATTACGTGGAGCTTTTGTGCTATTACGTGTGGAAAAATCTTCACAACGCCAACCTTGGATGAACCGCGGCATTATTGATATGAAAATAAAGCTAAAAGAAAAAGGGCTCTGGTGAAATATCCATACTTCCCTCAGAATTGTGGCATACTCCTACGCTAAGCAAAATGCGGTTCTTTGACAAAGCGCTGACTGTATTCATAAATATCACCACAAGAATTCCGGAGGTATGAAGAAATCTCGAGTGAAGCAGGAATGTTAGCACATGCTGCTGACATTGCTGAGCCCGTTAATTACTTTTCTCTAGTCTGTGTTTACCAACAATGCAAACACTAATGCGGGCGAGCACTTAGAATATTGTATGCGTCAAATAATGAAAGAACTTATATTCAAACCCAAAAGCGTGTTTGAACTCCTCCTTAACCTGGACAGAAAAAATCTAGTTGGCCTGGCGAAATTCGTTCGGAATTCCTGAAGTGCTTTGCCGAATGGATATTGTACTACCCAACCGTGATATTTGAGAAATTGCTAAAAACCCATTCCTTATCTTCGGACTGAGGCAGCGCAGTTGGGATACTGGTATCTAAAGGAGCTGATCGCCGACTTGTAAACAACTACTGCCCCATTTCGCTCACAAGTATTAGTTGCAATCTTTGGAGCACAACATCGCAAAACGCATTTTACAAATTTTTGATCATAACAGCTTATTATATACATCCCGGCATGGCTTCTGAGCGGGACTATCAATCCTTACACAATGCCCCACCATGACAAATATTCGAAGGGTTTCATAATTT